GTGGAATTACATTTTAACGTATTTCTTAAGGTCACATCCACATATTCTTATACTCACAATGACGCTTCTCCTTTCAGGACTGCTGTGTTACACAACAGCAGCAGCCTGTAGTACAGATAATTGTAATAAAAGTATTAAGATGGGTATGACTGGAGATACGAACGGGTACACACAGGTATAGCAGCACGAGAAAGAACAAACGGCAACACAAGGGCTGGCAGAGCGGTGCGTGTCAGTGGAAGTTAGATCAGCAGGTCATCACGATCCTTGAGCATCGGTATGTGCAGTTTCTCAGGACACGCCGATCAGGAGACGAAGGACAGAGGTGGCACAGAATGGTGAGACTACACGCTGGACAAATCGGTTTGGACATATCGGTTGTCTTGGGGCATCCAAGTATGCAGGCATGAGAGTGAGATTGAGCAACATAATGTTGTTTTTAAAATGAAGTTACCTTCCCTTCCTCTAAGATATTATAATTGTTACAATGTTATTTTCTACTCTGGCATGTATTAATCTTTTTCTTTGTCGGCAAACCTTAAAACATTGCATGCATACATGCAAGTAAGGAGAATATTAAGTACCTGATCTTGTGCTTTTCTCAGCACCGATTAAACTACTTCAGAGAAAACATGCAAGACAAACATTATTACTTAATCTCAGCTACAGGAACCTTACATTTTACTAAAAACTGTGAAAATTAAAAAAAAGAGACAGATGTGATTTTTAAATTGAGAATCCGTGCCAAGTCACACATTACTCTTATTTTCTGCGACTGAGTATTTGATGCGTGTTTCAGTAATTTCTCTGACCTTCCTGCTAGTTTGATTCGTAGCAAAGCCTCACAAAGTTAAACATTGTCAAACTACACCTCTATTAAACAGCAACTAAAACCTTCAAATGTTAACAGCAACAGAATTGTTAAAAAAACATTACTGGAGGTGCTTGACATGCAAACACTGCATCACTAACCTGAAAATAAAATACTATTAATTAATTTTCACAGTATAAAATGTTAGAAGTAAATAAAAATCTTAATACTAATCAGATATTTAAAGGAAAAGAGTTTAAACGATCTCCTGTCATTATCACTGACACAAAGAAATCTGCATGCAAAACTGTTTTTTTAAACTGTCATCGTCCTTGAGCTGTTTAAACCTCAGAGCATCTATTCAGCATCTCGATATTTAGTATACCTCCAGTCAACTTGCCTCACTTTTCCTATGTAGGTCTTACCATCCCAGGCTGCTATTCCCCTGGCATGAAGAAATTCACCACACCTCTAACGCCAAGAGAAACGCCGTGCTGCTTATGTAATGCTTGCTGCGAAATCTTTGTTTCTTCCCTATCAATTCGCATTCCAGACACTTGAGACTGCTCAGATACACATTTAATTTGCTTTTCACTTTTCTGTATAATTTTAGTTCAATCTAAACTAGAAAGTTTAATTAATTCATATTATATGCTGAAAGGAAAACTTCATGATAGTCATTTTTAGCCCTAAGGAGCAGATGTTATCAATAAGTTAAAACACCTTCAGCTTTGCCTCGGGATGTTCATGTGCCTGAAGCATTCTATCTTCTCATGACAATACAATATTTGCTTCAGCCACTTTTCTTAAAATTACTCTTTTTAAAAATTTTCTACTTTAGTACATTTTTGCAATAAAATACGTATTTTCAATTATTTCTTACAATCAAGTCCATATGAACTTTTAAAGCAACACAGAAATTTACACAAGCTACTTTTAAGACTGTCCTAAGAAACCACAGATAAAAACTTTTTTGAAAGACATTTGCCAAAATAAAATTTGACCAAGAGTAGCATTTAAATATGCCCTGACTTGCAGAAATCATAACCGAAAATGTATACTTGTAAGAACGAAGCTAACTCTACCAGTTTTGAATTCAGTGCCAACTGTAACATCAAACACTGAGAAAAGTGCAAAAATAAAGAAAACAAAATAAAAAACAGGCCCTGTAAAAGTAAAATGCTGTTGTCTATGAGGATAAAGTATTTTGGATTTAGCATTTCGCTATTTCCATACAGCAGCAATTTGTAGTGTTTGTGAAGTTACTTACAAATTTCATTTAGCAAATAATAGGTTTTTTTCTCCGGGAACTGACAAGTATAGGTTGGCCTTTCAAAAACAGCATAACAGTCTTCCAAATTGTTAGAATTTCTAGGCAGAATTCTTTACACCTCCAAGTAGTTGACTTGACAGCCATTCATGGTCATTTATGCAGCAACTTACCACAAAATTTATAAACCTGAAGTATTAGAATAAACAATTTAGGCTCGTTTGAACTCAACATCAGGTTACAAGAAGACTTTTTCACCAATTAAATCAAAAATAAAAGATGCAGCTTGGTACTCTGTAGGCACCCCTCATTGCCTTATTTAAAAATTTCCATTGCAGAAAGAAAAAGAGAACGTCAAGACCAGAGAGGGAGCCAAAGAGAGCAGGATAAAGAAAAAACATCAAACTGATTCAGAAACATTCACGCAGTAGGTAGCAAGAGAAGACTTTACACCAACAAATGTAGTGATACATGCCTTCTACTGTTACGTACAGAGACAGACAGAAATACATAAGTGTTTAGTTTCTGCTAACAACAATTACAGTCTGAAAATCTGATTAAGTTTTCAGTAACAGTTAACATCAGCAGGTAACTGATAGAAGCAGCAATGCACTCTCCCCAGCCTACTGAGAACCTCCTCTGCAAGACTCCTACTCTGAAGAGCAAACCAGAAGGAAAATCAAAGTGTGAAACAGAATTCCTACAGAAGTCTAAGTACCTCCATTCTTTGGGAACACTGTTTTGCATAAGATCTCCCAAAAGTCAGGCTGGGTGAGGAACATCTAGAAGTCCCAAAGGAAAAGCTGTGGGAGTTCACGACTACATGTCCTGGATGCTGCAGTATCCACACGGTGGTGATTTCTTAACAACAGCCAGGGCAATAAAACTAAAACATCACTTGACAGATTCCTCCTTTGAGGAGCAGTATCTCTTACCAGGAAGCTATTTTTTTGAAGAGAGTTACGTCAATGCTTTTGAAAAGTAAGTGCTGTTCTAATAAGTCTACTGCATTAACGGATACTTCCACAGCAAACGAGCAGCAAAATTTTCCTTTCCTGAAGGCCAGCAAATTTGACAAACCTGCTGATGAAGAATATCAAAAGGAAAATTTGTGCCTGGAAATTCTACTAGGAAAGCCACTTCTACAGAACAAAGAACTGCAAAATTCTTTCTGTATTAGGAAAAATAAAACTTTCAAAACCAGACCTAGTTACAGTGGAGAATTTGATTCAGAAATGAAAACTCTGAGCAGAAGTCACACCTAAAAATTATTCAGCTTACAACCTTGTTTTGAAAATTTATGATTGAACTGTATCTCCCATTTCCAGACTGCACAGATCTCTTCCAAGAAATGCTTTTTTTCTAGAAATAGATAACTTCAGTTGTATCAACGTTCAAGAACACTTTTTCCCCTTTGCTACAAATAAATATGACCTGTAATAATAAATATAAACTGACTATGTTTATTCACAGACTTAACAGTCAAACAATAAATATGTATTATTTTAGAAATGCTGATGACATGTAAGTCCTACTATTAGTTCAGCACTGAAGTAAAAAAAGTCATTATCAATAAAGCCATTTTCAACTAACTGGAAGTCAGAAATGCCAGAACTGCAAAGTTTATAATTCTCTGAATTTGGACATTAATTTCTTTCAAGATTACAAAAATTCTTAGCAGTACTGTATGTTAAAAAAAAAAGTTTTTTAAAAACTGCCATGAAGTTGCATGTACTTTAAGTTTTCAAAGGACAGATTTAATAGCTAAGCATCAGAAAACAAACACTTCCTGATTTCAGAGTTGAATTCTCAGTTAAAGCTTGCATATTTATCCTCTGCATAATGTATCTAATATGAAATCCAAATTTATAGAAATGCTTGTACCCCAGTCAACAACTAGCTGATGTCTATCTCATTTTTCTACCAACAAGCACAAAGGAGCACAGGGCTCTTGGATTATACTGGAAACACACAAGAAAAAACGGAAGTGACATTCTCATCCTCACAAAGTACTTCTTCAAATTATTTACTTCCCCAGGGAAGGCACCCAGGCACCAAAGGAAAGAAAATGTTTGAATATTTGATTTAATCTTTTTATTCAGAAAACAAATGAGAATTAAGATAATTTTTTTAGATATATTAAACATTTCCATTTCTTATCAGTCAAGTTTTGCTTTCAGCTGCGATTGCTGATTATCTCTTAGTTGAAGCAGCATTTTTTGCTTAAACGAAATGCATTGATAGATGCCGTTTAACCAACACAAACAAGCAAAGAAGCAACAAATGATATGTTAAGAAACCAGAGAACACAGCTGTTATACAGAGAAGAATCCCCGCGTATTTGCTATTTTAATGACCTACAACACAGTCATATTTTCAGCTCAGTGGAAGATGCACATGCAAACACCCTGTTTCCCAACAGGGCTAATGTTTTAAATCATTTTTATGAAAATATTTGCATTTACTTTGCACTCCAGTGATTACTTAGGGCCCATACCTTGTAAGCATGCACTGTAATCAGTTTATTACTGCAGCCATTCTAATACAGTCCTACTGACGACTCACTCGTACAAAGAACAACCACAAACATTTTCTTCATGAGATGAACTTTTGACAGCTTGGTTCTTCTAGTGGAGTCTTTTAGAAGCCCAGGAGAAAGCAACACATGGCTCCCCCTTTCAGTTGCAGGCAGTTTGGCACATGCAGACTCTACATATTGAAACAGACTTCTGCTGCTGTATCTACCATCTCCTACTGGTTTAGCTGTTGTTTTTTTCTACATCATAACAATCACACTCGTTATAGTACATCAAAGACATTTCTTGCCTTTTAATAAGGTTTCAAATACTTAGTGAAACTACTGTGCAGTAGCTCTGCAAACAGAGCTTGTCAAAATACTTCTGTACATTTAGCACTGACCTGCTAAATCCAGAAACAGAGATGGCTCCCCTGTTTCCAGTCCAAGATAAATTCAGCCACTGGATGAGAGTGCAGCGAGACTGCAGGTATTCCAGAGATGTGTCATTAATCCTTGCCCAGTAAGGTTGTAAACTGAGATGAATGTACTGTAGAGGATCACAGCAATGTTGATATAGTAGCTTACAAGTTTGCGCTAGTCTACACAGGTCTGGTACTGTAAGGTGACTCAAAATCAACTGGATGAGCTATATTAAAAACAGAAAAAAAAAAGTCACAGATGGTCACATAGCACTTGAAACGTTAAAGGAAAACTGCAAAGGAATAAGAAAAGATGTTCTAACTTCAAAGAAAAGTAAATCCTTTTACTTAAAAGTAACTTCTCCAATAAATCATTGATTAACTATTAAATAGGACTGCACTGCCTTCTCAGTTTGACAACATATTAAACAAGAAAGGAAAAAGCAGATCAGCATACAAAAGTGACAGGAAGCTTTCAAATCCAAAGTTTCTTTACCCAGGGTAATTTAAACAGTGATATATGTGTAAACACTATGTTTACATATTTCCCTTCACAATGTCTGCACTACCGTTGATCAGAACACTGAACGGGCATCTTCTTTATTCTCTGGATTTGGTTTTTAAGATGGTAGCATATTTGCAGAGTACATGGAAAAACTATACCATGCCCCAGTTTCCCCACTGATTTCAGACTTATTCCTCTGCTCCCTGCTTTAAAAACCACTGTTTTGTCTTCTGCCACATATCCTCTCCCATCCATGCTGGACTATGCAACTACGTAAAAAATTCAACATATTCAGATCTTCTTTTTCAAAGTAATCTCCTCCTTGCTGTAATACTTTAAGAGCATTTCTGTTCTATGCCAAAGTCAAATCTGAAAGGCAAACCCCTTTCTACCTTTATCAGATTGAATCATCTCAGCTTCAGAATAATCACCAGCCCTTCTGACTAGAACCACTATACATGTTTGTGTAATGACTTATCTCACACTCAGAAATTAAGAAATATCCCCCGTCTCCTATCAAGCTGTTTTCCTCTCTAAAGAAAGGCCACCGCACACAGATGCATAAATACTCACTTTCGAAATAACAAAAAAAAAAAAAATCTCCTTCAGCCTAAAAACTCAGACAAAATAAACTCAGAAAATGAAACCTAAAAATTAATGTTTACTTTACCAGGACTGTCTTTAACAGCTATAAGTACCTGTACTCACATTATGTAACTAAAATTGACTAAGTGTTTTCACGCAGAGTGGGAAACAATAACTCACTGAAATGAATCAGTGTAAATTAAAAAAAAAAAAAAACACCACCAAAACAACCCACAATTCGGCTTAAATTGAATAGAGTTCTGTGGCCCTTTCAAAATAACATGTTTCATTATAATGTCTCATACGGAGTCACAAGACAAAACCGCCAAAAATCAGAATAAAATGCTTGACATAAAATCAAAATGAAGCTTTTTGCGAGATCCAAACAGATTGTACTTCCAATGCACCAGCTTATTATGCAGCTAGCTTCCGCCTCGCCGCCTCCCCCTTCATTTTTGGAAGAGAAGAAATAAGAAAACAATCCAACTTCCTGCAAAATGAAAAATGTTACTTCCTACTCAGCTCCAGATTTAGTATTTGGATTGCAAACATGATCTACGACACTTCAGAAAATTTAACTTCAACTCCAATGCCAAAATACAGTGTTTGCATATACTCCAGTTGCTCTCAAGCTCGATTTCAAGCCTCCCCTCTTCCCTTCCCCTCGCTCCTCCTTCCCAAAAACAGCCCAGACTTTCTGTCTGTACGGGTGCCTGGAACGCTCACCTCAGCTTGATGCAGAGGATCTGCGTAGACATTTCAATGTGACAGCAATATATATATATAATAACTGCAGTTAATATATTATAATCAACAAAGCTTGCTCCCAACTGGTATTTAGTTTGTTAGCATTTTAGAGAGAGAGCAAACTAACCAGGAGCTCACACAGATATAATCCCAAATTAGTATTTTGATTTTTGCTTGGCTCAGATCCATACTTCAGCTTAAGAGTTGTTTAGCACAGTTTTGTTCGTCATTCTAATAGTAGATATTCAAACATATACCTATTTTTCTAAGGTCATCAATCCACTTTAAATAATTTTTAATATTATGCAAGGCAGCTTTAAATTATTTTGCAATCTTTCAGCTATTTCACACTCTGCAAGCCATGTAAATATCTGTTTTATGAATGTCTTTTCCCTCAGATGTTTCCCATGTTTATTCAGTAACTTCTTTAGAACAGAGAGCTCAACAACAAAGGCTGCACAGTTAGCTAAATTTATGTCTACAATTAATGTGGCGTAACAACGTCTGATAAAAACAAAGCAGCACAAATTTTGTTCAATGGAAAAAAAAGTTATTTTGTGACTTCTGAGCAGTAAAGGTAATGGTGAATGAAACTATAAATGCCTCACCAATGTCCCTTTACACTAACTGATGACTTCAATGAGTATTTCAAAACATAAAGGATGTTGCAGTCTTTCCTGAGATGAAATCTCTTACCACATGAATGTCCTCATCAGCAAAAATAATCCTTCTTTTATTTTTATTGAAATTATGCTACTTTATAATATCTAGAATGAAAAAATGTAATGAAATGTCACTACTATGACATTAAGATATAAAGTACTTTTTTCTCGCTTTTGATTAAACAAAGGTAACAGGTTCCAAACCTACAGGCTAATCACCATTAATCACCATTAGTCTGGAGTCTGAAATCCGCTTTTCACCTATGCATATCCTAGCATAAAGTACAATTTGATACCATAATGAGTATGTGGCATGACGTGCTGCATTGTGCTACACTGTGTTCATGGCGATTCCAAGAATACTGCAGAATTGAGTATCTGCTTTGAAAACAGATTTTGTAACACTGTTTCTCACATACAACTGTTTTTATTCCACATTTATGAAAAATTATGGCAACCATTATTGTTTCATACTTTCTTATAAATCGATCAGTAAAACCAAGATTATTGGAAAAATAATACAGAGGAATACAAAGAGGAAAACAAAATATAATTTACACAACGCTGATGGCCTTTTTAGGCTATGACGGACCAAAAGTACAAAAGTACTCTCTCTCCCATTTCCAAGCAAACGCCAGCTTTAGAGATGTGGCAAGATCAACACCCACTACAGTGAAAACCTCCAAAAACTGGAGGTTTCCAAATCATAAGTCTCCACAACAATTCAACAACCGTATACAAATCCATTGTGTGGTGTCTGACCACAGAAAAGATCCTGATTCATACCCGAACCGTGTGTTATATCATCACAATCCCTGACTGCAGTATTTTACATATATGCATATATTTTGAGCTATAAATTAAAAAATATAACATCTTAAAAAAACCAAACACCTTGCCCACTGCATCAGAGTTCACTTCAGCTCAAACAGGATCTCTAGCGCACTCTACAACACAAGGGGTAAAACTTTACCAGTGGTGTAGCTCCTAATGGAACTTACCTACCCGAAAGTTTCTCCAGCTTTTTTAAGCTTTCTTTTCTGAATAACAGCAAACAATAACGGTTTGCACCCAATAAAATGCTTCCTGTGGTTAGAGCACAATAACGCAGTACTTGATTTGGCCAGAAAATAATGATTGGATGCTGGTCAAACCTAGAATATCTGCACTTTCTACAAATTTCCGCTTTCAGCTCTTCAACATGAGCCCCTCCAATACAAAAATATATTGGTCTATGCAAACCATTCATTCAGAAACATGCAAATGAATGACTTGCAATTTTTTCATTCTGCAGCTAGAGCTGCCACAGCTTAGATTCTAATTAATTAGAATTGATATTAAAACTTGCTCAGATACAGGACAAAGGATACGTGCACAAAAAGTCAAAGAGAGAAGGCAGGGAGGAGAAGATGGTATTCTAGGGCTCTTGACATTCCTCAGCATAGTTGAGGAAAACACAGTCCCTAGTTCCACGATCCTCTAGCTTGCACCAGCAAATGCATGCACATTTAATAGCACACGGGAACACATGAAAAGCAGATCTTTCAACTGCTTCACAAAACACAACCATATAAGTCTCTCTTTTCTTTATTCTGCTCACATAACGTGCTTTGGTGGAGCGGACTTTACATCACCAGGTTACAGGCTCTGAACCTCTCGGCAACGAACAGCTGTAAAGGTTTTAAGCCCCTTCTTGATTCAAAGAACAGAAAAGGATCTTACTGATAGACTGCACAATTAAATGAGACTCCAGCAGGATTAAAGTTGGAGAGATCTTCTCCAAGTGCCATTGCTCAGAGCCTAGTCCACCACAGCAACTGGCAGTATATTGCCCATTAACTGAAGGGAACCTTGTGCCGTACAGTTCATAGCTGTTAAAACAGCTTTTAAGACACTCACGAGTTTCTGTTTCCAAAGAGAGCCATAAAATCTTGCTGATTATCTGAAAGCAGACAAATATTTGTTCTGGAAAGATATAAGAAGTTTAGTGTTAAGGGAAAAAAAGCGTATGACACTTTAAAATGCTCCTGCTTATTGCTCTGACTCTTTTAAGTACCATTTAAGGGATGCAGATCTTACATTCAAGACCCGTTTTTCTAGAATGTAGGTGTCAAATCCACATTTAGCAATGAAATTCACTTCCCCAGTAGACGTGAACAGCTCATAAATCTTCTAGGCAGCTTTAGGAAAAATTCGCTTCAAGAAATGACAAAGATGTCATTTATATCTTTTTGTATCAAAATTTATATAAAAAATATCTTTTGGACTGCAGCATACAGGATTTCTCCTGACTTTCCTCTCTGAGGGACAAAAGTTAGGTTCTTGGTACCTGGTACATCTCGGTGAGTGTCCAACTGCACAACAGGTACGCTGTGGCGGGTATTCCTCACTTTTCTCAAAGGCTTTTAACTTGTTCAAGCCTTCAGGTCTCAAGCATTCCTGTAAAGCCAACTAAGACTAAGGCCCTACTCCTTTCACTTTACAACCAGCACAAGTTAGTCAAAGATAACTGGGAAGAAAGACAAGGGCATGAAGTGTCTCCTAGAAAATCCTTCCCCAGTTTTAAGGTAGTTCTGGAGAACAGATGATAGTACTTCACAGCTACTAAGGGCTGGTTAACACCATCCATGAGCAGGGAAGGACAATACTCTCATCTAGAAGAAAGCGTGAAATCTTGCGTGAACTAAGAAAGCCTGCGCCCCAGGAGTCGATCATTTTTCTCTTCTGTTGGCAGGAGCAATCTAGAATCTTAGGACGCTTTTAGAGCTCACACTTCAGCAGTCCATTCCTAACAACATTTTGAAGGGCAACAGAGTCTATGAAAGGACAGTCTACGGAAGTTTCAGAAAGACAACAAAGGCAAAATGAAGGCTGGAGGAACTGCTGCCTACTTCAAGATTAGCACAGAAGATCATTCCGCCTGCGTATTTTGTGATTCACTGAGGGTAATATGAAGAAGCTTGAAACTGATCAAATAAGGTATAGGCACGTGTATGAAGACCAAGGACAGTGGCACGTTCACAATCAACATGCACATATAAAAAGATTCAACTTTTCATGTAACGCGTCAATCAAAACTGGAAGGACTCAGGGGTTGCCTTACTTCATCACTGTAAGGTTCGAACACTTCCCAGAAAAATCTGACACTTGTCAGTCTTGAAGACAGCATGCAGAGTGCTGTTTGTGTATCTGAGGTGATAAAAAACTGTCATACTACAAAGTACAACATTTTCGTTGTTCTGATACCCAACCCTTCCAGCTGGACCAAGAAAGTAGGAGACTGGGATTTCACAAAACCAGCCCAGAAACAGCCCTTTGTAGTTTTTCTGATAAATATTCCACTCATATTTTCAGTTTCTTTAAATCAAAGGAGAAGAAAAAAAAGTGCTTGGTATTGACAGACCATATAAATGCATTCATGAAACCAAACATGTTAAAAAATGGATAAAAAAGGAAGCTGGTACACAAACAAGAAAGCAGAAAAGCACAATAGAGTACATGGAGGTAGAAGTTCATAGGAGTAACAGAACTAGGCAAATACTTCCAAATTATAATCCTAATATATATAATCACGTGGAACAGAAAAGAGATTAATCATTCTCTCTGGTAGTCCACTATACTATAAATCAATTTATCCAGCCTTTTCAAACTAGACTTCCTAGATTTAAATCAAGTTTTCTCTATAATTATTTTCTTTGAATGACTAAAACCAACATATTTTCAAACATGGTTATAAGTTTTAAGATGTTCTGGAATCAACTGCACCTTTGCATATGCCAAGTATTTATTTTGGAACTGATGTACAAGCACTGACAGTAAAATATATTAAACACTATATGGACTCTGGGGAAAAAAAAAACACTAGAGTTAACTTGGGATGAAGTTAGTATCCTCATTTATTATTCCACTGCAGCAACAAGAACAAAAAAACTCAAGAACTGAAAAAGACTTAAAAGAGAAGAAAAATACACAGGAGAAAGATAGAGAGAGTTGTTACGTTCTCTTTCTCTCTCTTTCCTCTTTACAAGCACAGCAAAGTTCTGCAGGTTACCAGAGCACACAGGCACCCAACCATAGCCTTCACGTGCCGAACTGGGGTACCTGGAGACAAAAAGATGTGACAAAAGCAATATACTATTTGATTAGATCCTATATTTCTGAAAGTGCCCTGCAGTCAGTGACAGCATCTCTCACCATCCTCCCTTTGCTATCAGAAGCCAGTCTTATTCAAGCCACAAGCACTCTGAGCATTTGACGAGTTACCACAGTAAACAAACACTTGCTGCTTTTGCCAGACTGCAGCACCCTAAAGAGCAGGAACATTCGTAAGTCTGCCTGAGTCCAGAGGTCTAACTGGCAATTAAAAGCTCCTTTCCACTATGTGCAAGCCCAGTTTATTTCAGGAGAACTGAAGACAACTATTTCATCTCTCAATTCTTACTCTAACTAGGGTACTAACAGCTACACCACACTAAGAACTTCCCAGCCTGCATACAATATTCACCAATCATACTTCACAATCTCATTATACTGCAAATTACAGAAAAGAAAGTATTTATCTACACTGATCTGAGCACACTTGCAACTGCCCCGCTGCCAGGGTATCTGAAAGAAGTAGTTTCTTCACAACTGTCTTCTGTGCTAATGACAGAATAAGAAGTAGCAAACCTCAAAACAAGACAGTGTACAGAAGTCCAGCTATAACACTTATTACTTACACCGTGATTCAAAATTCAGCTGTATTGAAGAAGCTTATTTCATAACAATATGAAAATATTGTGGCAGTTTCAAGAATAAAGTTCTGGGTTTTTATAAGAGAGGTAACAGGCAAAGAAACTGTTAGCCTATTACAAACAATTTCCACTTCCAGATCTTGATTTGGTCTTTTCATATCTCTTCTTTATCTTCTTAGTCAAGGACGATGACTAAAACTGCTGGAAAACTCTCAGAAGCTTCTAAGTTCAAGAGCTATAAATTCAAGGCTGGAATAACTGGTGCAAAAACTGTGAATGGACAGATTCCTGAGAAATAAAAGTGCAGTAACTATGCAAATACCATCAAAGTGACTTGCTAATATCCATCCACGGAAGTAGACAGACTTACATGATTAGACTTACATATTTCAGGCATAACTATGTAGTAACAGCAGGAGGCTCACAAAAGAATGCAAGGACTAATCGGAAAAAAGAATAGTCTTGACCAGTACTGTATAAAGCACCTTTGTACCCTTAACAATCAAAACAAATACACTGAGTATAAACGTGCTTCTCTTACCTCGTAAGGCAGTTTATCAAAATATCCGTTAGTCGGCCATTCCCTGAGGGTAACAATGCTGAACTGTTTATTAAGGGTGTCCATTCCACAGCCATACTTCTCTTCATCCTCATCGTCATCAATATCATTCATATCAATCATCGAAGTCTTAAGTGAAAGCACAGGTCTCTCTTTCACACCGTGTAGTACTACTGCATCCAATTCAGTGTAATAGTCCAGAAGAGAGCTGTTCACTTCCAGCCGGATTAAGTTTGTGGGAAAGTTTATCTGTTTGATACAAGGCGTGAATTGCCGAGCCTGAGGACCATTCACCTTTGTAGGAGCTTCGGACCAAAGGACTTCCCATCTGTGAAAGAAAAATTGCACACACGGACAGTACAGGGATTAAAATCACAGTTACTAAAGCAATTCCTGGACACAGTAAGAGGGTTTCTCTGTCAAAAGTATTTAACAAGTGAGACACATGGTTGAAAAGACAATGCAAATTATGTTTTCCCTAGATTTGGTAAATATCCTAAGGATGAATTTAAGAGGGCACACTAATTCATGACCTTAGCATATTTTCTCTTCAATTGCTAACTAACAAAACAAGCTGTGTACTAACAGTCACGCACTTGCGTTAGAGTACTGTTATCCATGCACAAGTTGTTCTAACATCTCACAGGTAAGGTAATTGTAACAAATGGTTACAGGTGTATTCACAATGATGGTGTGTTAGCATACGTATGCAGGGAACAGTCTTGCCATGTAACCCAAATATACAGTCAGCTGACCTCTCTGATTTCCCACAAAAGGCTTTCACAAAAAAAAAATAAAAAAAGAAAAAAGACCCACAGCTCAGACTCTTCAACATCAAACCTGTTTAAATTACAGCACTGCAAATTATTTAATAACCCAAACTTTACTTTGTTTATCTGTCTAGGCAATCAAACTGTTCCTTTTATAAGTAATTCACTGTTAAATTACCTAAGAAAACCGAATCCTCAGTCAGTTTTTAAAGGGTCTTTTGCAAACAAAATATTAGAATTTCCAAACTGCTAAACAGAAAAGTTTTTCTCCTCTTTGGTCCAGTGACAGAAGGGGAGGTTCACAGCATGCACAGCACTTCCATACGTGCATCCCTACTTTCACACACAGACGCCCAATCTCCTCCAGCAAAAGACAGCGAAACCTGCTGCCAACTGAGTCATCTGGAGAATCAAGTCACATTCATTAGTCTTCAGTGCTCCCAAACTGGCCAAAAGGCCTGAAAATAGAAACATACTTTTTATATCTGCATGGGTCCTCATCCAGTGACTGGATTTTAGAGGTCCTTCAGTCACTGATACCCATCTTTTCCTCCCTCAAGTCTAGTGAATTCCTAAAGAAGGGAGCCTCCAGCAGCCACTGCTGCTACTGCCTTTGACAGTATGCTTAAAGCAACCTTTGCAGCCCGTATGCAAAACCCAGACACTTCCACACCTACTCCATCTCTTTCCGATCACCTTAGTCCCAGCTTCAAGCACGTCTCTCAGGCTGCTTGTCCCCTCACACAGGTCTCAGAAATGCTCTTTCTGCTCCCTTGAAATAAAAAGAAGGGGGGTGGGGGGGGATGATGATAATTAAAAAAAAATAAAAAAAAATTAAAATCAAACATGCTTTACTTTCCAGAACCAACTGCTTAAACTTTGTCCATCATGACAGAAAGTAAAACAAACATAAAGACTTTCATTAAAACATAGCACATGGTATAAGTAAGGCTTAGAAGCTTGATATTTGCTATTTCAAGGATAGGAAAATTAATCCGTATCGGCTGAAACATCCATTTCACAATAGACATTTTCAGGTATGCACAGATAAATTTTCCTATCCTACGTCATACCACTCTCCACAAATACCTTACAGTACAAGGGGAGGCCTGCAGAAGTCTTCTGTCAAAGGAAAAAAAAGTCAGGAACTGAAAACAAACATGCAGGACTTGTGAATACATGGCACATCAGAAAGTACCAGCGTAGGCGAGTGGACACCTCTACCCTAAGGTCAACTGTTTTTGTAAGAGAGACTTATTACTAAGCAAAGATTTCATTAATTCAGGAAACGAATGTCAACCCATGGCAAAAGGCAGCAGCTGTAGTCCCACTGTCTCGCCCGCTTGCACAGGTCGATTCCCTAAGCAAATACTTAATGCTGGCAATGCACACGACCTTTCTTGAACGCATCCAGATCACCAGCTGACATTTCACTTAGACACTTTCTTATACCCACTCAAACTATCCTTAAGGAAACTCAAGGCTATTTTTTCCACTAATTTAGCACACACTGGACCATCAACTTTTAACCGAATATGTCTCAGTTATTGACTTCTCCTTTGGTGTCCTGGAGAGAGGATCATCTAGCAGTAGCAGAGCTCTGGAGAAAAATAACGCATCTGGAGGTCTAGACTGCAGAGTAACAACCTCCTTCAGCAAGCACTGTCTCTAGTTCCCAGTCTTTGTAACAAACTAGAGACGAGTAAAGGAAAGACACGTAGCATGACTTTATACAATCTTGTGAAACTCCACATTACATGCCAAGAGCTGACGAACAACAATACCGGTGACTATTTTCCACTGTCCCTGTCATACTTTTATTTTCATCAACAGCCCAACTGTCTAACCTTAAAGGAGCTCATTGTTGGTTTCATTGGAAAATCTCACGTCTATCAGGTTGATTTGATGTTCTTCTCTGCCTTGGCGGCACCGCACATGAGAACAGGCCATAGCCAGTGCTCCGAGTCAGGGTCGGTATATTCTTCCCGAATGCAGGCATACTGTTAATACACCCATTACTGCAACTGGAAGTGCTCTCTTCCTCTAGGATCAGCACATTGACACTTCAATGGCCTGCATGTAGTCTGAATGGGAGTAAAGGCTCCACAGTTGGAAATGCATCAAAAAAGTCTAAATTTCCAAGAGTCTTCAGTAAGAACTGCACTTCTGTACTGGAGCATTTTTTTGTAATGGTCATCCATTTCAAAATACTTCAGAAGTGCATTTTGACAGTCAGTCCTGGTTCGAGGGTGCATACCAAAACCAGAATCCCTAATAAGGTTGCTGGCATTTGTTCCAAGCTCAAGATGCTCAATAAACTACTTAACCCAAAACAAGGAGAAACTGAATCCCAAGAAATACCTGTAAAGTAGTCAAAGCAATTTTCATTCCCTCATTGCTTTGAGTTAATTAGGTAGCTATCAAAAAATCAAGCAGAATCAAATGACTGAAGGTAGGACATTGTTTGTTCTCGTCTTGCAGATATATTGTCACAGCTGATCAAAGATGCTGCAATAAGAGTGTCTTGATAAGAAGGTTTCACCAGCAATGGGCTAGAAAGCCTCAGTCTTTATGCTACCACGCAAAGCCTGAATGAGAGGCCGTAATGTCTGTATTATTTTCTCTAGTGATTGAAGAAAATGAGGACTTCAAGTGAAGTTTTTCCATTCAAGCTTTAATGGACTCAGTTTTCCCATTAGATTTCTCTCTACCTCATGAAGATAGCCAGCAACTCATTTTGCTAAAATTTCTGATACTAAAGACTCCACACACCTATGTGGTAAAAAAAAAAAAAAAATTTCCATTCTCCTTTCCTCACCATGAAGGAAAATACAATCTACCGATTTTTAGACTGAAAAACATACTTGCAAGGTTTGTGTCAAATGAGAGCACATATTTAATGCTTATTTAATTTTTTGTTGACCTAATGTGTTGCAAAGCTTCATAATAGCTAAGATGATGCCTGAGTAAGCCTGGTCACTTCTGAAGAAAACATATAATAAAGATTCTTTGGAAAAGTGGTTCCTAAGAAAAGTAATCAGATCTGTCTCCAGCGAGACAAGATTAAACTTTGCCTGCAATCTGCTGAGATTGGTGTAGAAAGCGAATAAAACACTACGAGCTATTCAAGCACAAAAAATAAATGCACTGTCCCAAGAAATTTATAGCTGTGTTAGAAGTCAAAAGAAGGGAAAGTTTCAGACAGATCAACAAGGGGAACATAAGGAAACTCAGAGAATAACGTGACCACACTTTTGCTGAAACTGCAACTTCTGCAACAATTATAATCATGATATGTGATTGTAATACACCCCTTCTACTCTGATCCAAGCAAGTGCTCTGTAAATAATCTGTAGGCTACCTACAAGCAAACGTCTCCTGCCCACTAACAAGCCAGGGATGCTTCAGCACACTACGTTCAGCATAACCTGGAAAGTGCAGCCCTGGCCACAGCTGTGAGTTCGTGAATACAAAAGGCACAGAAGATTGATCAAGAGAACAATTTTAGAACCATTCAGATCAAGGTGATAAGCAAGAGTTCACAGTATTCTAATTACTGTGGGGGAATATCCAGCATATTTTCATTTCTACCTTGAGAGTTCAATTCTGAAACACCAGAGAGAGCAGACAGGACTCGAAGAATGCGCAGGGCATTTAAAATAGCAGAAGATATTTGAAATAACTGCCCTGGTCACATGAGCTTTTTATGGGTTTCTCAAAAATGAGTGTGTTCCATGAACCCAGAATTCATTCTTCTATGACAGTCATCTGGACAAGAAAAAGGCTGTTTCCCTGAAGATGTCAAAACAAGTTATAAGTAAGGATGCGAACGGCTAGAATCTAAGTTGTGTGTTACACATAGGTGAGATACAGCCCCGAAGGTCCCTTATCACACTCTCATGTGTTGATGGTATCAGCAGTGTTTTGGGTGCCTTCATCTGAGATTCACAGGGAACTAAAGGTAGATCAAAAGAACCATCTGAATGCCACTCTCCACAAGCAAGAGACTCAAGATACTTTACATTCAGTACACTGCTTTTCTGGTTTCACTCCCTCTACGAGAAGGGGGATTTTTTTTTTTTTATCAAACATTTTAATCCCTATCCTGGCTGCCAGCAAACAGATCTGCAACATTCCCACCTGGATTAGCATTGTATTGCCCAAATACAATGAACTTGCTAATGGAAGGAGAGGAAGCCTTTTATTTTGTCCATCTTCCTTAGCCTATCTTCTGCCTCTATGGGCTTCAAGACCTTCAGCAAGAGAAAGAAACCTCGCACGCAGCAAACACAGGTAAACCAGGAAATATTGAGCCAAGCTGTTCATCTACAAATCAAGCTCAGATTCTTGCTCAAAAGGGCATCTAGCAAAATTCCAACAGGCATGAAAGAAATTAAATTAAATAAAAATAAATGGCGGGAACACACAATGCAGAATGGAACTTCTCCCAACCAGTCAAATGATCATGGTATCTCACCTGTGAGAAACAACCTAACCAGTGTTACACTGTATCTGCAGAAAACAAGAAAAAAAATAAATCACAAAAGAATTTCCAACC